CCAATATACAATCATGGGCTTAGCATTGGGGTCTCTTTCAACCCATCCCATACTCATGGGCTAGCCCATAGGTTTATTTCAACCCAATCATACAATAATGGGCCTAGCCATGGGGTTTATTTCAACCCAATCATACAAACATGTAAGAGTCACAAGGACATCTAACATCCTACATACACAATTTAGTGGGTCGACATTGGTGTCTTCAATCGACAAGCACAGTGAGAAGACTCACCTCTAACTGAAGATAATCGAATCACACACTCTAGTTGCTTCTACCACAACTCCTCACACTGATCATAACCCAAAATCAACCCTTATTAATATTAGGGTTTTAACCCATAATCAATGGTCTAAATCATATTTTATCTTAATAAGGGAAAAATACCATTTTCGCCCTTCCCATACACGACCCAACTGTTCAAGGCCCAAAAATGGCCCAAATGGGTTTCTGGGATTACGCCATGCGTACTCCCCATTACGCCCTGCATACAGCGAGATCACAGAAAAGGTAACGAGACAAAACCCGCTATAACGAGTGTACTTACGGGTTACGCCCCAACGTAATCCCCTGTTGTCCAAGACCATACTTTTAGCTCTTAATGTTTATAGACCAAATACCCAACTTATAGATTTTGATCTTGGGGAGGCCTTAAATGATTAAGTGACAACTTTAAGCTTTTACATGGTTTAATAGAGCCCAACATCAAACCCTAAGTCTACGCATCCTTAAATGATCTCAAACTCCTATATGAGTGGGAAATAAAAAGGACTTCCTTTTTATGACTTAAAATCCATAAAACATCATAAAGTAGCAAACTTGAGTCTTGGAGTAACTTTTACGCACAAGGACCAAACGATGGGACCAAATTTATGAAAAACTAACCCTAACCTAGATCTAAACCAAATAACCACAAAAGTGTGAGCTTTATACCTCTAGAAGATTGCAAATGGAAAGAAGACTATGGACCCACAAGCTCCAAGCTCACCAAACACCAATAATGAAATCTTTCTTTTTCTACAAAGCACCAAAATCACTCTAGAGGTCCAAAAGAAACTTTCAAGGGTTAAGGTTTCGAAATGAGGGAATGGGGGAGTGGAGGCTGAGGGTAAGGAATGTATCAAAGGTATAATGTCCTTTAAATATGGTCCAAACCCTAAAAATTAGGCTTTAGGACCTGCATGAGTACGCCCTGCGTACCACTAGAGTACGCCCAATGTACTCAAAGGAACCTCGTCATCCACTTAATGAGTTACATATGGCATACCTACAGGGTACGCCCTGCGTAAGGACCAAATTGCAACTTTTTTAAACTTTAAACTAAAATGGAAAATTACTCGGAACACGAATCTCACACCTACGGTCACCCTTACAAGATAAAATGATTAATTTTGTTTGTTATGGCTTCTTAGTTCCATAAATAAGTGTAACACTATAAAATTTGGACATGAAACGGAGAGCAAATAAATGTAACACTATAAAATTTAGACAGGAAATGGAGAGCAAATAAATGTAACACTATAAAATTTGGATAGGAAAGCAAATAAATGTAACACTATAATATTTGGACATGCAATGGTGAGCGGTGACTATGATGAGTTAGTTGATGTGTGCCACTTCAAAGGCGACAACACACTCATTAGGCAATCAAGCTAGTGACTATATGAAGAGTGTTGAAACATGGCAAATGAGAAAAAAACATAATTAGCCAAAACCAACTCCTATATTCTTTTGCAAAGTTTGTTCGTTTTAACAAGTAAATATTTTGCACATTTAAATGTATTTTGTTGCTTTTGAAAGTGTTACATATTATAAACATGTCATGCCATGTGTGAATGCATTATAAGGAAAATAAGGAAATGATTATTTGTTGCTAAACATTGATATTAAGTGTCGGTTTTAGTTTCCAAATGAATTAATATTTGACTTGTTAGTATTTTAGAGTTCTAGACTATTTCCAACGTTATCAAGTTCCTATCATTTTTTGCACAAAATATATATAATAACATGGCAATTAAATTAAAATGAAATACATATATTTATGACTTGTTTGGTAACGAGTTTATGGGAGGCTTTAACTTTTAGTTTCTAACAAAAATAAATAAATAAATAAATAAAAATAAACAAGAAGTTTTGTTTGAAAATATGAACTTTTAGTTTTTTGTTTAAACTTTAAATAAAAAACTTCAAATCTAAAAACTATTTCATATATAACGTTTAAAAAAATAAATTATTGAGTTTTTAAATTAATTTCCAGAATTGTCCTTAATAAAATTAATACATTCTATTTTAATTGTCGTTTTATATAATTTATTATATAATAAATAAAAACTATAGTTTTCACTAGGGATGTAAACGAACACGAACTAGACGTGTTCATATTTGTTCATTTAAGTTAACCGAATAAATAAACGAACACGAACGGATAAACGAACGAATTTTCTTGTTCATGTTCGTTCGTTTAACAAATTGCATTATTCATATTTGTTTGTTTATGTTCGTGAATATACTAAATGAACATAAACGAACAGACATAAATGAACAAAGATAAACAAACATAATTCAAACATATATGAACATATAATATAGTAATGTAATCAAATACAATTAAACATATATATGGACATTAAAAAAACTTATATGAACGAACATAAACAAGTGTAAACGAACAAAATAAACGAACGTTCACGAACATAATTGAACAAACAAGATCATTATTCATGTTCATTCATTTAATTAAACTAACAAAAATTTGTATTAATCTTCATTCATTTATTAAATAAACGAACATAAATGAACTTTCTGCTGATCGGTTCACGAACAGTTCGTTAAACGTTTGGTTCGTTTACAGTCATAGTTTTCACAACTTGCAGCTATCACTTTAATTTAGTTTTGACAAAAAAAAAAAAAAAAAAAAAAAAAAAAAAAAAAAAAAAATCTTAAACTCGAAACGATCACAAATGGCACACGAAAGTAAAAACTGATGAATTATATATAAGTAGAACAATTATACAACTTGGTTTTATTACATCTACTAAACAAAATCAATATGGTTTTGCGATAGAAAGTAACATCACTATCCAAACGAAGAGACAGCTGCGAATTTATTATTATTATTTTTTTTTTCTATTTTATTTTGTTTAAAAAAGGAGTCCAAGAACACGATGAGTGATGTATCTTTCTACGATTACGGTTCTTCTGATCCGGCGATCTCCGGTTCCCTCTATGGAGATTCGCTTTCTCGGTTGGCAGCCGCAGTTGAGCATGATGATGGGCTTTATTGCATCAGGCCGCCGGAGCACCGCCATGACGGCACTTCTCCTCTTCCTCTAGGCATGGACTGGAGTTTCGCCCCTCTTATTTGGGTACTTCGACACCTCTGTGCATTTCCACAGCTTTATCATGTTTTCGATGATTCCAATTCCAATTCTAAACCTAAAAATTTCATTCATAGAACTAGAAATAAGAAATCTCTATGCAGGAAGGCAGAAACTCTGTTTGGCCCCATGATTTACACAAAGGATGGAGTTACTGTGTCACAATTCCTTCCTTGATCAGTGGCATACCGACTGCTGGCTCTTCGGACGCTGTGGTATGTCTTTTTGATTCTCAGTTAATAAAATACGAATCCAAGTAATTTAACATGTAATCAGCTAGTTTCTTACTGTATCTATGTGATAATTTCATGAATTTTTTCTATGATGTGATACATGTTGATGTTTATGTTCTTCATGCAGTTTTATGGTGTTAAAGTTGGCATACAATCACCTGAAGGAATCACCACAACTCGAACAGTTCCAAGAAGATTTAACGAGTTCTTAAACCTATATTCCGAGGTTCTTCATGAATTTATTATCTTTTTCGTTTCCAAAAATTATCAATTTTCTAATATTTCATTTCTTTTTGCAGCTTAGAAAGGGATATCCTAAGAAAAATTTGCCCCGACCTCCCCCAAAGAGGTTTGTGAAAGCAAAAAGCAAGAAAGTTTTGGTAGATGTATGCTCTTTTTTCACAAGTTTTTGCATCCTTTTTTTATTTATAGAAATAAATTCATAAGATTTGTTATATGATTCTTAATATTTTATCAGAGAATTTGTGCTTTGGAGTGTTGGATGACAAAACTATTGTCAGATATTGATGTGTCCAGAAGTGCTCCTGTGGCAATCTTTTTGGAGTTAGAAGCAGCTGCAAGAGAAGGCATGTTTCTCTTTCTATTTCCATTTCTTTTAACTATTAAATAATAAATTTAATATTTTATATAATTGTATAAACTATTCAATTGGTATTTCAGCATGCAATGAGTTGAATCAGAATGATCCTGCTGACATGGACAAGAGTTCTTCCTATGAAACATCTGATCTTACTTCTTCATCTCTCGAAAAGGAGAATTCTGATGAACTTAATTCAATCAACAAACATTACACTGATGCTTCAAATGTAAATACAAATCATGATGATGAAGATGAAAGAGATTCCAATTCAGGGTTAAAAAGTGAACAAAATGGTGTAAACATTGAAGATCTGATTAGAAGATTAAATGAAGAAACTGTTGCAAGACAATACTTCACAACAAAAGTCAAAGATTTGGAAATGGAACTTGAAACAAGAATTCAAAGCAACAAAAACATGGAAGAGCTTCGAAGAAAGTGTATGGAATTGGATTTGAGATTGACAATTGAACAGGTAAATTTACTTTTTAGACCTTTTTGTAAACATGGCAAATAATGTATTGGAAATAATATAATACATATTAGGAGGCTAGAGCATATGCAGAATCAATGAAAGAAACCATGATCCAAAAGAATGAATTGTTGATGAAAGAGATTGAGATTTTGAGGAAAGAGAAAGAAGAGATGGAATTGAAAGTTAAATCTTTTAGTAAAATTTCAGAAGATAAATTACTGGTGGATACTTGTGTATCACTATCAGATACCATTGATGTGTTGGAAACATCGGATACCCAAATTGGTCTTATACTTGCAGGAGAGGTAACTAAATTTACACTTTTGGCCCAAGTTTTAATTTTTGTTACGAATTTGGTACGCGTTTTAAATATTGTTATGGATATGGGCATTTAACAGGCAGGGGTTGTTGGTGAAAATGGTGACAATGGTAATGAAGATGATGATGATGAGTTGAGGAAGTTGTTAGGTGATATTTTAATTGAGAATGCAAAGTTGAGAGAACAAGTGAATTCTGTGATTAGTCATGCTCTTAGTAAACCTGTTAAATGAAATAACGATAATGTAATCTACACTTACTATTGAAAATACTTGTGGAGATATGTATAAAGGAATGTAATAATATATTTAGTTGAGCTCATGGAATCTGAAAACGAAAATCATTTATATCTTTGGACCACTTTTGCATACACATGGTTATTGGTAAAACACAAGAATGTAGTTTATTTTCTATCGTTTTATCGATTTAATAACAACTCATTTTTCACGGTGTTATCAATATAAAAGTTCAAGAAAAAAACGTTAATTTGTTCATTTTGCTTATGATCCTACATTTGAAGACTCCAAGTTACATCAACTTCAACTGATCCTTGAGGGTTTACTAACTAGTCACATCGAGCAACGTTCCTCTTTGTCACATTTCAACAAACATCATAGAAGTTGTATTTTGGTGGAATACGAATTATGAGCAAACAATTGGTGTCCTCTTTCAAGTGTTATTTCTTACTCATGTAAGTTTATTGCCTAAATATCAAGCTTATACTTTAGCATTATCCACACAATGCGAGTCAAAATTATATAATGAAGCTTTCAAATCCTTAGAATGGACGACTGCTATGTATGAAGAATTAAAAGTAGCTTTAGAGGTAAATAATTTTTTTTTGAAAGGTAAATAATTAATACTTATAAAAAAGGGTGTTAAGGGATTTAATCAACAAAAAACGTGTTAGAAATTTTGAATACATTTTTATCAGTAATTAAATTCGTCACAATTAAATTGTTTTTAGCATTATCAACATAAAATTCATGGGCTTATGCCTCGTGATGTTTGTTGCATTTCAATCTAAGTCGTTATCGCGGTCAAAAATATAATGGCGGTCACCAGCCGCTATTTGATATCGCGGTTCTCACGGCGGTATAGCGGTGATATAGCGTTTTTTCTGTTATTTAGAATTTATATATATTACAGTATTAATCAGTAAATTATACTTTAAAGTTCAACCCAATCCAGTTAATTAGTTAATCAGTAAATCATAATTCACATATCATATTTAGTTAATCATAATTCACATATCATAATTAGTTAATTATACTTCACAAACCGGTTACCAATGCCCTAGTTAATCATATTTTAACACAGTCAACAAGAAAACATATGCAATACTTACTATTTTATCATACTTTAACACAATTACAATTATCAAATGAAACGATTAAGTAATTTGATAGTTAATCATAATGTAATACTTCAAGTTTTCGACACAATTAGTAAGACAACATATACATGGATTATAGGGATGAGCAAAAACCGAACCGAAAACCGAAAAATCGAAAAAAACCAACATAAACGCAACTGAAAAACCAAAACCAAAGCAATAACCGACGGTTTAGGTTTGAATTTTATAAAAATCGAAAAATGACGATTTGGTTTGGTTTTGACGTATAAAACCGCCCATGAAAACTGAACCGACCCACATATATATTATTTATATTATGATTTAAACTTTTAATTTTAGACTTTAGACTTTATCTCTTTAATACTTTATGTTTATTTTCAACAAACTGTTAATGGTGTTAAACTTTGATATTTTAAACACTTTTATGCTTTTATAATACTAGAATTCGTAGTCTTTATTTTAGTATATTTAAAGTAGATGCAATACTATTTATCGCAACGTATTTTCACTAGATTTGAACCCAAAAACTAGAAAAAAAAACAGGAGCTCATAAACCCATGGTTTAAAACCGAAAACCCATAAACCCAACCCAGAAAACCGAAAAATTGACCAATGCAAAAACCGAACCTATATGGTTTTAAAAACCAAAAAACCGACTTTTTACGGTTTGATTTGGTTTTAGCCAAAAACCGACCCAAACTGACCCATGCTTATCCCTAATGGATTCAATGGAAGTCATGATAGTCACAAAATTACAAATTTTCAATAGAATGATACAAAAGTTTTGGTTTGAACTAAGAAAAAATAATTTTATTCGATGGAATGGTACACAAAAAAGTTTTTTTTTTTTTTTTTTTTTATGTAAAATAGTCCAAAAATAGAATTTATTCATATAGCGGTTATAGCACCACTATAGCGGTGACCATAATCGCGGTAAATCGCAACACTTCTAAACGTTATTTTTAAATAACGTTTCCTTACATCCGCTAACCACTACAACGTAGCTATTGACTACATAGATCTTAATGAACAACACCTTCTTAAGGTGGATGGGTGATGGGGGGATAGTAAATCAATTTTTTCTCCAAAGGAGTCCATCGTCCTAAAGAAGTGAGTAGTGGGAGAAAATAGTAAATGATGTTTGGTATTTGGTGGGGGTAGAAGTGGGCCTAGTCTCTCTCTCTCTCTATATATATATATATATATATATATTATATATATATATATATATATATATATATATATATATATATATATATATATATATATATATACTAGCAGTGCACCGCGCAAAGCGGCGGGACGTGTAAATTCTTTTAGTGATATGTTTCCTCTACAAAAATGTTATGTTACAAAAGAAAGTACACGTCGAAGACAAAATAATCAAACTATGGTGTTATTTGGGAAATGAAGTCATTTTTTGTTCCTGGACGGTGGACTTTATAGTAGAGGAGGGAGCAAAGAGGTATATGCGATTGGAGGGATATTTGAATCAACATGCTAAATTTAAGGATATCTAAAAGGGTTCAAAATTTGAATGAATCCGAGATTTGAGAAAACCATATCAAATTGTTGAGAAATATAAGGAGATTTAATGATAAATATTTGAATTCAAAATATGGTTAAAATTTAATATTATTTTATTAATGATTACTTATACTATCAGCTTCATCATTTGAACGTCTTAAAAAAATATTATTATTATAATCAATCTATTTTTAGAAATAGTTAGATTTCTTTTATAAGATAGTAAATATATATATATATATATATATATATATATATATATATATATATATATATATATATATATATATATATATATATATATATATATATATATATATATATATATATATATATATATACCATAATCATGTTAGTAATAATTTAAAAATAACTTTGTATAATCTCCATTGTGTAAAGTGTAAGTTGAAATAAGAGATGGAAAAAGAATTGATTGGAATCAACGTATTTTGGATTGTGTATCGTGTAATTTGAATCGATATCTTTTGATTCCTGTAAATTAGGCCATGGAAAATGAGATGGAAAAAAAAGAGTGAAGAAACCTAAATTCATTTGAAAGTGGTGTTGATGTGAGCAATGGGGCTTCTGGTCTTTGGATAGAAAATAAGGTTGGGGTTCGGTCACATTTCATTTTTCACATTTCAAAACTTAAGAAATGGTCACACTTTACTTCATCAAACATTAATATATTATATTGTAAGAGAGAGAGAGAGAGAGAGAGAGAGAGTCGCACCTTAAAGAAGAATCGCATGGTGAAACACTTCACCCTCACCGCACCCAGGGTGTGATATTTCTACTTGTGGTGAAACTGCCACCTCACCCTACCACACCATACAATGGAATACACCTCGTAGCTTAAAGCAAAACGGAGAAATGGTATCTAATGGTGGGTTATGGATGGAGGTTGTTATGCTTTCAATAAATTAGTTAATAAAATATATTTATTTATAGATATGATTTAGATGTTGCTTCCCTTTTTGAGGATGAGAACACATGCGGAGTTATGAGTAATTAAGGAATAAATTAAATTTTCTGTTAAAAAGAACTTACAAAACAAGAATAATGTTACCCTTTTAAATGGATGTTTGATTTCGGCCTGACTGTGTACGTTTAAACATTTTTGTCTAACTCAATCCTACCAACATGTTTGATATTTGATAGAGAAAATTTTACATTTGATTCAATTCGAGAATATCTGGACACTTTTCTTTTCCCTTATTTGTCATTCTTCTCCCTTTCCAAATGTTTTCTTCCTTAAACTCCCACCTTAACCCACCATTATCACCAAATACCCTTTACCATTACCATTTCCATTCTCCAAAAAACACATACCTCTGTTCATCACCTAACTTAAAGAGTCACCCCTAACATCACCATTAATACTACCACCAATCAACCTTCATCGCCAATTTGAAAAAGATTAAAAAAAAAAGCTTGCATTTTGAATGTGAGGGATAGAAAATCATGTATATGCTATTGATTTAGAAAGAAAGAGAGGCTACAATTTTATTTTTTCCTTGGTAGGTTGTGATCGTCGAGTTTGAGAAAGAAAATAACGAGATACAATAAGGAAACAAACAGATTTTTCTTTTGATTTTAGTGGATGTACATTTGCTTTTTTTCTAAGATTGAAGATTCAAGTCTAGTTATAAACATAGATCGATTTAAAGAGTAGTTTATGAGTTAGGTTAGTTTTGTAGTTTAAAAAAAAATTATATTTATCAAAATATTTTATTATTATTCTGAAAAACAAAATCACATTCCGAAACCTTATTTCATATTTATTTATTAAATCTGAAAAACGAAATCAATGTGGTCTGTAAAGTGTAAACTGATCACCCCCCTTCGGCGCATTCCAATAGACCAATACTATTTGACCATTCTTCGAGTGAGAGAGCAGGAGGAAACAGTAAGCTTCTTACACCATTGCAATAGGACGTAATCGGCAACGAAGACGGCAGCTACGAAATTGTTAAAAAGGAGGCGAAGATCACCATGAGTATGTACGGATACGATGTATCTTTCTACGATTACGGTTTTTCTGATCCGGCGATCAACGGTTCAATCTATGGAAATTCGATTTCTCGGAGGGCACCGGCAATTGATTATGATGATGAGCTCTATGTCAGAAGAAGGTCGCCGCCGCGGCCGAGGCAGAGGTCCCCAAGCAAAACCCCTAGCAGCTCGCCGAAGCACCGCCATGACGGCACTTCTCCTCTTCCTCTAGGCATGGACTGGAGTCTACCTCCTCTGAATTGGGTATGATTATCATTTACCCTCTCTCTGATAGCTATTTTCATGTATTTATATGCGTCTCTGTAATTTTCTCATGCTTTGAAATCCAGTGAGCTTCTGTTGAATTTTCGTAATTTCAATTCCAGTTAAAAACCTCTAAATTTCATTCATAGAACTAGAAATCTCTATGCAGGAAGGCAGAAACTCTGTTTGGCCTCATGATTTACACAAAGGATGGAGTTACTGTGTCACAATTC